TTCTTCGAATGAGGTATGTGTTTATAATTATTTTGGCTTGTTTATCTTTTGTATGTTCTGTTGATTTCTCGTATGTTCCGCACTGGTCTAATCGGATTTTTTTTTATGCTTAGAAATTTTTGAATGAGTTTTGATAACTGGATGAATACATATGATAAGATAGAATGGGACTGGAGATGCTGGAGGAGTTGCCAGTAATCGTCAGCAGAAATTAATTCTCGCAGTTCATTTCCTGGTAGTTTCACTTTCATTGAGTTACTGTTCTGCGCAGGCTAGATTCCAACAAAACCCTCAGAGCCATCTAAGTCTGTGCTCATATCATGGCCAACTACAACTATTGTGCGTTCGAATCCACTGTAATCGTCAAATTTGGGCATAAATGGTCGTTGCGCAAAATTTTAAAGTAAACTTGGAGGGGAAGGGAACAGTTAAAAAAGATAAGTTATCACTTATTAGCAAGAGGAATAACGGCAGCAGTAGGCTAAAAATAGGAGATAAGCGTATTGTTTGTTGGCGGTAGCTAATTTCGAAAACAAAAAACGAATTCAATTATATCGTGATTGATTCTTGGCACATCTTCGGGGCCTTCTCCGTAGTGCTATCTTACAATACAGAAAATAGCTATCGTATGTTAAGAACAGGAATGTGTTGCCCGGGCTTAAACGAGCATCATGAAAAAGCAGTTTTTAGGACACATTTGCTATTTTAATGCATTTCTCGGCAACTCAGTTGGCTACATCTAGCGCCATATTGAGCTTACTTTTGAACCTCCTTTATCTGACTTGCACCGTTTTTTTTTTTTCCTTGTATGAATGATTTTTTGGTTTCTCACCTTTCTGCTACTTCGGCTCATCTTTTGTTTTTTAGGCCCTTTTGGTAGCTGGAGATGCGCAGTGTATTATGAATCAAAGAAATTTGCGCGTCGTTAAAGCCAGCGCTCATTCAGGATGGGGCATTCCTGCAGCTCCCAAGAACGAATGCTATAAAAAGACCGATGTTCCGGGTGTTTGCGAAAATGAAAGAACCAAAGGCATCAACGCTGATGTGCGCACTGGACCAGAATTGGAGACGCATGAAAAGGCAGTCGAGCGTGATTATGAGGATCGGGCAAATTCGGAACCCTCGGCAATCCTAGTACGCATCGGGCGGCGTGAATCTGCTATAGAACAAGACGAACAGCTTGAGTCTCCTGTTGACTCAGATGATGCAATGGATGAGTTTTCGGCAGCTCGGAGGATAATTAGTTATGAAGAGCAGGAGGATCCC